TTGTCCTATGAGGAGGAGCCGGTGGCTATTCTAGACCGGCAGGTTCATCAGTTGAGATCAAAGAGTTTTTCTTCTATTCGTGTTAAGTGGAGAGGTAAGCCTGCCGAGGCATCGACCTGAGAGTCCGAGTCCGATATGCGGAACCATTATCCCCATCTTTTCCCCGACTCACGTACTTCTTTCTTATGTCCGTTCGAGGACGAACTGTTGTTTTAGAGGTGGAGAATGTGATGACCCAAAAGGTCATCACTTGTTTAAGAAATAAATTCTGTGTCCCGAGGCCTTAAAAAACCTCTCTCTGCATCACCTCAATTTGCGTGTACAGTCCGGGCGTGTAGCCGGAAAACCATTATGTGAAAAATCTGTAAAAATGATAAAATTTGCATCTACAATGAATTTAAGTTGACTTCGATCAACATTTTGGGTAAACAGACCCGGACCCATGATTTGATGGTCCCGGAGGGTCTGTAGGAAAATATGGGACTTGGGCGTATGTCCGGAATCGAATTCCGAGTTCCCAAACCCGAGAAATGAATTTTTAAAGAAAATTATTTTCTGGAATATATATATGAGTTTTTAGAAATGGAATATGTTTGGAATTTGATGGTATCGGGCTTATATTTTGGTTTCGGAGCCCGGTACAGGTTTTATATGTGATTTAAGCGGAATCTATAAAATTTGGTAGGAAACGGAGGTCAAATGACGTGAATCGGACCCTCAGTTGTAAAATTTGGAACTCAAGTGTTCTTGAGATTTTTCTTTTGATTTTGATGTTAAAGTCGTTGTTAAAGGTATTAATTTGGCGATTTGATTGCACGAATAAGTTCATATGATGTTTTCGAGTTAGTACGCATGTTTGATTTGGAGCCCCGAGGGCTCGGGTGAGTTTCGGGTAGGTTCCGAGGTGTTTAGACTTAGGAAAAATACTGATGTTGTATCAGTTCTGGTGTAACCGCACCTGCGAGTCAAGCACCGCAGGTGCAAGCTCGAAGGTGCGCATTTAGGGCTGCAGGTGCGGTCCAGCCCTCTCGCAGATGCAGACAAGATTCCGCAGAAGCGATTCCACAGGAGCGGATCCTCTATCGCAGGTGCAGCCCCAGCGGGCCCTGTCATTTCCGCATAAGCGGTCAATTTTCCGCACGTGCGATTGCGCAGGTGCGACCCAAGCACCGCAGGTGCGACCCAAGCACCGCAGGTGCGAGAGTCGGGCAGTGAAGTCTTTTAAAATAAACTTCAGCGTTTTCTCTTTCAAATTTTCACCAAAAATAGAAGGCATGGGGTGATTTTCTCAAGAGATTTTCTTCCCAAATCATAAGTAAGTGTTCACTAACTGATTTCTTTCAACTCTCTAATGTATTTCATCAACTTTTATCTAAAATCCTAGGGTTTTAATGGTAGAAAATTGAGAATTTGGGTAGAATTAGGGCTTTTTGAATAATTGAAATTTAGACCTCGATTTGGGGTCGGATTTCGGAACTAATTACATATTCGGGCTCGTGGGTGAATGGATGATCGGGTTTTGGTCTGAACCTCGTGTTTTGACCAAGCGGGCCTGGGGTCAATTTTTGACTTTTTGGAAAAAATGATAGAAAATCTATAATTAAGCATTGGGCATGAATTCTTTAGCATTTATTGATGTTTTTAAATCAATTTGGACTAGATACGAGTCATTTGGAGGCAAATTCTAAAGGAAAAATGGTGTTTGAGGCTTGAGTTGGCCGTGGAAGTTTGAGGTAAGTGTTTGGCCTAACCTTAGCTTGAGGGATTAGGAGTTGTGTCCTATTTGCGATGTGTTATTTGTTGAGTACGATGTATAGGTATGATGACGAGTATCTATACGTTGGTGTCAAGCATGCCCGTGAGTCAGAAATTGAAATCGTTGTGTTCTTAATAAGTACTACAAATGCCTAAGTTGTTGATTCTCTGTGTTGGGAAAGAAGTATGATTATTCTCGTGGAAACTGCTTATGGTTGAGTATTGGTTCTAGATGAGGTTTCTTTGTAAAGTTAAATGTTGGAACAAGTTTGGTTATAGCTGATTCCCTTGTCGGGACGTATTTACTTCTTACTCTCGATTCCCTTGCCGGGATATTGTTGTTTTCATATTGCTCCCTTGCTGGTACTCTTTTGTGATTGGTGTTGAATTGTATATTGGGATCGGGTTGCACGCCGCAACAATATTATATTTGGATGGGGTTGCACGCCGCAACAATATTATATTTAGATCGGGTTACACGCCGCAGCAAATATTATATTTGGATCGAGTTGCACGCCGCAACAATATTATATTTGGATCGGGTTGCACGCCGCAACAGTGATATATGATTTGGATCGGGTTGCGCGCCGTAACAATAAAGGATAAAAGTGGATATTGAGTTGTTCAGGTTCTTTATTCCTTTTGCTTTGAATTTTAAATTGTTCTTCATGTTTTCCTCATGAGTTATTATTGGCAAATGATATCCCCTCACAGTATGTCCCTTTCCCATCTTTAACTGATAGTTTTCTTTATTATATATATATATATACTTTAACTGCATAGGTTTAGTTGGTAGTCTTGTCCTAGCCTCGTCACTACTTCACGGGGGTTAGGCTAGACACTTACCAGCACATGGGGTCGGTTGTGCTGATACTACACTCTGCACTGTGTGCAGACCCCGGAGCAGCAACTTTTGGACCTTAGCTTGGGTCGCTGCCTTCAGTCCATACGGAGATCCAATGTAGTCCTGCAGGCGTTCGCAGGTCCTGGCGTCTCCCTCTATCTTTTCTTCATGTTTCACTCATGTAATTCAGAAACAATGTTGTATTTATTTTTCGGACCTTGTTTGTAGAATTCTTAGACTGTCTGTGGAGTTGTGACACCAGTCTTGGGTAGTTTTTATTTAAGAAATCATGTTAGAATTATTTAAATGGTTTAATCGTTTCTTCCACTTGTTTAAATTTTCTATGTTTATAAACTGTTGATTCACATTTGTTAAAGAATTAAAATGGAAAGAAGGTAATTTGTTCAAATGATCGGCTTGCCTAGCTTTCATTAGTAGACGCCATCACGACTCCCGAGGATGAGAAATCTGGGTCGTGACAAGATAATATGGATATTCATATTATTTGCCGGTTAACAAACTTTTTATTTATATTAAATATGGATCGAATCAGATAATTTATCCATTTTTGCATTACCCCTTTTTACCCGCTCATATCTGATCTGACCCATCCATTTGTCACCCCTAGCCACACCTAAAATCATTTTAATCAAAATCTTTCACTTTTGATTATTCTTTACTCAGAGATGCACCATGTTAATAAAAATCGGCAAAGATATTTTTGTACACATCGTCGAGGACACCTTTGTAAAACAACTCTACTTTTTTTTTGGCAAAATATCTTAAAACCTCCCTAAACTTGACATGGATTATTGGTTACAGCCTTAACTATTCGTGGTCATATTACTCCCCTCAACTTGGCCTTTTGAGAGTCATTGCCCCCTAGACGCTGATGTGGCAAAGAGTGTGGGTGCACTCGCCTGCCACATGGATTTTTCCTGTATATGCGGTATTTTTTTAAAAATAAAATATATTTTTACCTTTTTAAGTATGTTACTTCTTTAGATAAATTTTTTTGAATACAATTTATGATAAAACTTGGATAGAACTACATTATTTAGGCTAAATTTTTTTATTTGGCTAAAAATAATAAAGTTTTAGTTAAGCTTTTTTTGAATTTGACCTGAAAATAAAGATTTATACAATTGAAATAAATAGTCAAGGTATCTAAAAAGTTATAAAAAATACATAATTTGAAATTAATTATTTTGGCTATAACTTTTTATATAGCTCTAAATTACGGTGCTCTAAATATATATATATTTAACATATTTTACCTGAAAAATTAAAAAAAAAATTGAAATAAATAGTCATTGCATCAAAAGAAGAAATAAAAAGAGTGTACAATTTCTTCAACTGTGTATTTCTTCAATTGTGTACAATTTTTTTCAACTATAAAAAGAGTGTATTTTTACTTTTTCAAGTATAAAAAGAGTGTATTTCTTCAATTGATGCAATGACTATTTATTTTAACTGTGTATTTTTACTTTTTCAAGTAAATTCTGTAAAAAAAATATATTTTTAGAGCACCATAATTTAGAGCTATATAAAAAATTATTACCAAAATAATTAATTTCAAACTATGTATTTTTATAACTTTTTAGATGCCTTGACTATTTATTTCAATTGTATAAATCTTTATTTTCAGGTCAAATTCAAAAAAAGATTCACTAAAACTTTATTATTTTTAGCCTAAATAATGTAGTTCTATTCAAGTTTTATCATAAATTGTATTCCAAAAAAAATTATCTAAAGAAGTAACATACTTAAAAAGGTAAAAATATATATATATTTTTAAAAAAAATGCCACATATACAGGAAAAATCCACGTGGCAGGCGAGTGCACCCACACTCTTTGTTACATCAGCGTCCAGGGGGTAATAGCTCTCAAAAGGCCAAATTGAGAGGGATAATTAAGACCATCAATAGTTTAAGACTGTAACTAATAATCCATATCAAGTTTACGGAGTTTTAAGGTATTTTGCCTTTTATTTTTGCCTCCGTTAACCTTAGCAAGTAAAAGTAAAAGCATTCACCATTTTTGGAGAAAAGCAAGCAAATCAATGTGTGTTACACCAGAATTTGGTAATAATGATACGTAAAGGCAAATCAAACATGGGCTCCACACGCATTTAACAGAAAAGTAAAGAAATTGGATATACCCACAAATCATAGAAACCAACTAGATAAACGTACTAAGTATTATTTTTGTTTAAAAAAAAAAAGAGAAACTAGATAAACGTACTTTCCTTTCGACTTCGGGTACATGTATAGTTTCAATTAAACGCGGATGTCAACTGTCATGTGGCTACCCTTGGCCACTTTCTTCCACGTCATTTATTTCCCTTACTTTATACAACTGTCCTCTACTCATCCTATATTCTGCTCTCAAAAAAAAAAAAAAAATCTGCTCTCTTTTCTTTTCTTATAATTCCCACTACCAACATTCTCATTATCCCTTCATCATTTATATATATACGACTAGACTACCTCATTCTCATCCTCAACAATCAAATCCAAGAACTCATCTCTATTCTCTTAAACCCACAAAAATTATATTCAATCTTGTGTTATTGATATGGGCAACTATATTTCTTGTACCTTATTAGGACCAGGAGGCAACAAACAAACAAGAGGTGTAAAAGTCATATTCCCAAGTGGTGAAATCAGACATTTTTATCAACCAATAAAAGCAGCAGAGGTCATGTTAGAGACACCTAATTTCTTTCTTGTAAACACAAGGTCACTTAAAATTGGAAGGAGATTTTCTGCTCTGAATGCTGATGAAGATCTTGATATGGGCAATGTATATGCTATGTTTCCAATGAAAAGAGTAAATTCATTTGTCTCAGCTGCTGATATGGGAGCTTTGTTACTTACTGCTAATTCTGTGTCCAAAAGGGTGTCAATTGGAAGTTTCAGAATCTTGCCTGAATCATGTGTAGAGTATTCTGCTCTGGAAATAGTACAGCCTCAGGCCAATTGTGAGCAACAAGTTTTGCCAAAGTTGAATTTGGATGATATTGAAGAGTTTTCAACTCCAGAATTTAAGCACAGATTGTCTATGTGTAGGTCAAAGAAACCATTGTTGGAAACTATTGCTGAAGAGCCAGTTTGTTCAAGATGAGGAATGAGGATTATTTTGAACTACATGAAATTTCGTTCGACTTCTCTTTGAATTTTAGTAAGGAGAAAATATTCTTTTTTACAGATTAGGGTAGGATTTATTTGTGATTCACATTCACTATATTCTCTGATGAAAACAAATAAGATGTATATTTGATCTTTTTTTTGAGTGAGGCTTAAATTTGATCAAAGGATCAAGAGCTGAACTTTTTTATTTGATGGGGTGCTGAAGGGAAGAAAAGAAAAAAATCCATTTTTTTTTTTGCTAATAAGAAAAAAGTCTATGGTTGTAAATTTCATAGCTTGTAATTTATGCATAATTTTCAGAGCATAATGAAAAAAAATGTAGTGTGTATTTTTTCAACCCTGATACTGGTACAACTAATAGTTGTTCATTTGGTGCATCAATTATTTGATATATTAGACCTTCAATCTCTTAATCTAATCCCAAGTAGTTTTCTTGTTATGACTTTCAATTCCTTTTGAATTTTTAAAAATCTCTCTCTCAAATAGAGAATCATAAGAAAGGCAGTGAAAGATTAATATTTAAGGGTCGTTTGGTAAGAGGAATTTGGAACAATATTTACAATATTTAAATGAAGAGATTAGGAATAGTAACCATCGCCATAACTAAGAGTGTTTGGCTGGTTGTACAAAAACAAATAATCCATACTATAACGTTTATTAGAAATATTAAAGAATACTCATTATTGAATTATGCGAAAATTTATGAGAAATATATTGTGGAATAAAAATATGTACATCAATATAATAATACATAAAAAAACTTTTTTAAAGACAAAAAAGATATTTAAGATATAGGTAATACCTTCATAATAGTAATTGCATTGTATAACAATTCATACATTATTATATATCTTATAAAGAATCGCTTCATTATTATTCGACGGATAAACAATCAAGCATTATAATCTCCTAATAATTAGCATGTGAACCAAATTATTCCTTAATTAAGCTAGCTGAACGATCTGAAGCTCAAAGGCACATGGCGTTCCAAACTGTTGGCATTTGGTTCAATTTTTTTAAAAGGGGGTTTCGCGAAAGAACAATCAATGTAATGCAAAAATTGTATTTCAAGCAATCTCCAAAAAAGAAGTGTTCCTTTTAGTTGGTGAAGATGTTCTGCTAAATGAATGTATTTTAGACCAATTAGGGAAAATGACTTGCATTATTCATTCGTATAATTACTTTTTATAATTGCTTTAACTTTGACTTAGTGGAATCCAAGAAAGCGGCATATTTGCAGCTATTGGGGAGTACAGACGAGAAGGAAAAGAGGACGAATAGGGAGCGGTATAAGATAGCTAAGAAGGAAGCAAAGTTAGCGGTCACAACGACAAAACTGCTGCATTTGAACGCTTGTACGAAGAACTTGGAGGCAAAGGAGGGGATAAGAAGTTGTACGGACTAGCCAAGGTGCGAGAAAGGAAAGCCCGTGACTTGGACCAAGTGAAGTGCATCAAGGACGAGGAAGGCATAGTTTTGTTGGATGAGGCACTTATTCGCCGAAGATGGCAGACTTACTTTCATAAACTCTTGAGCAAAGAGGGAGGTAAGAACATTGAGCTAGGTGACTTAGAGCACTCCAAGAGTCGTCGAGACATTGGGTATTGTAGGCGCATAAGAGTCGAGGAGGTTAAGGAGGCTATGCATAAAATGAGCAGGGGGAGAGCGACAGGTCCAAACGAGATCCCGGTGAAATTTTGGAAGAGCGTAGGTAGGGCGGGCTTGGAGTGGCTCAATGAGTTATTTAATGTCATTTTTAGGACGAAGAAGATGCCTGAAGAATGGATAAGGAGTACGATGGTCCCACTATATAAGAACAAAGGTGATATCCAAAGTTGCAACAACTATCAGGGCATCAAAGTTACTAAGTCACATTATGAAAGTCTGGGAGAGAGTGGTGAAATTGAGGTTTTTGCAACAACTATCAGGGCATCAAAGTTACTAAGTCACATTATGAAAGTCTGGGAGAGAGTGGTGAAATTGAGGTTTTTGCAACAACTATCAGGGCATCAAAGTTACTAAGTCACATTATGAAAGTCTGGGAGAGAGTGGTGAAATTGAGGTTTTTGCAACAACTATCAGGGCATCAAAGTTACTAAGTCACATTATGAAAGTCTGGGAGAGAGTGGTGAAATTGAGGTTTTTGCAACAACTATCAGGGCATCAAAGTTACTAAGTCACATTATGAAAGTCTGGGAGAGAGTGGTGAAGTTGAGGTTGAGGAGGATCGTGACTATTTCTGAAAACCAGTTCGGATTTATGACGGGACGTTCGACTACGGAAGCTATCCATCTTGTTAGGAGGTTGATGGATCAGTATAGGGAGAGGAAGAGGGATTTACACATGGTGTTCATCGGCTCAGAGAAGGCTTACGATAAAGTATCGAGGGAGGTTCTGTGGAGATTTTTAGAGACTAGAGGTATTCCTGTTGCATATATTAGAGAAATTAAGAACATGTATGATGGAGCTAAGACTCAAGTGAGGACGATGGGAGGGGATTCGGAACACTTTCCAGTTATGATGGAGTTGCATCAGGGGTCAGCCCTCAGCCTATTTCTATTTGTCTTGGCGATCGACGCTCTAACGCCACATTCAAGGGGAGGTGTCGTGGTGCATGTTATTTGCAGATGATATTGTACTGATTGAGGAGACGCGAGGAGGTGTTAACGAGAGATTAGAGGTTTGGAGACAGGCCCTAGAGTCTAAAGGTTTCAAGTTGAGCAGGACGAAGATGGAATACTTGGAGTGCAATTTCGGTGGTGCGTCTCAGGTAGTAGATGAAGATGTGAGGCTTGATTCTCAAGTCATCCTTAGGAGAGAAAGTTTTAAATACCTTGGGTCAGTTATTCAAGGGAATGTGGAAATCCACGATGATGTTACACATCGTATTGGGGACGGGTGGATGAAATGGAGCCTCGCTTATAGTATTTTGTGTGATAAAAATATTCCACTAAAACTTAAAGGTAAGTTCTATAGAGCGGTGGTCAGACCGGCTATGTTGTATGGATTGGAGTGTTGGCCAGTCAAGAACTCTAATGTCTATAAGATGAAGGTAGCTGAAATGAGGATGTTGAGATGGATGTACGAGCATACCAGGTTAGATAGAATTAGAAATGAAGTTATTTGGGACAAGGTGGGCGTGGCCCCTATGGAGGAAAAAAAGTGGGAGGCGAGAGTTAGATGGTTCGGGCATGTGATCAGGAGAGACACAGATGCTCCGGTAAGGAGGTGCGAGAGGTTGGACTTGGAGGGCTTGAGGAGAGGTAGAGGCAGGCTAAAGAAATATTGGGGAGATGTGATTAGGCAGGATATGGTGTTGCTCCAGCTTACTGAGGACTTGAGCATGGATAGGAATGCGTGGAGGTTGAGAATAAAGGTAAAGGGTTAGGATAGGTAGCTGAGTGTTGTCCTGTTTGTGTATTGTCGTATCGTTTGACTTCTGTTATTACTTGTTGTTGCTTTCGTTTCGGCTTTTTGATTACAGTACTTACTGTTAGTTTTGTATTTTTGCTCTGGTTTTCCGATTGATATGCTTGTTGTCGTCCTTATTTTATCTTTTCCGAGCTGAGGGTCTACAGAAAACAGTCTCTCTGCCTTTTTGAAGGTAGAGGTAAGGTCTAAGTACACTCTACCCTCCCCAGACCTCACTAGTGCGATTATATTGGGTTGTTGTTATTGTTGTTTAACTTTTACTTAGTGGTACATGTTTATATTCATTAAATCAATACTTACCATAAATATAAGTTATCTATCTTAATACTCAACCAAACGTGAAACTTGGTTAAAGATTAGTATCATTTTGGAACGAGGGTGTATGATTTTGTATATTAAGTATCTATTATTTTGTAAAGGCAATACGAATTGCATAGGAGAAATTAATGGGCTTCACGATGGGGACATGTCCTTTCCTGTGATATTTTGTTTTTTGGGTAATATGTGTTTGACCAAAAGATATTGAAACATTTTTGATTAAATCAATTAAGAAAGTTGAAGAGGTAAATCTCAGCCAAGTATAATAAGATCTATCTTGAAGGATGTTAAGAACGAGCAAGATGAATAATGTTTTTCTGTGTTTCAGAGTTGAATGACAAATTATAAATATGATCGCTTTGAATGTAGAGAGATTTTGCAATAGATGTTTTTAGTTTCAAGTAAAAGTCGTATATGGATCTTAGAATTGTGATCCTCTCTTTACAGAATGTTTGGCCCCCTTTTATAGAGGACAATCTCCCTCCTTCCTCTCAAAAGAATAAAGTACAACTTAAAAAATATTCTAAGGCATATTCCCATTGTTCCCTATCATGCTAACACGACTACAAACATCGTGCATTCGCTATCTACTGTCGATCATCGTTTATCGTTTATAGAGGACAATCTCCCTCCTTGATAAGCGAATGTCGTCCATGCATACGAAGAAATTTGATTTGCAAACCATATCGGTTTCGGCTGATGACGAACGAACGAAGTATTTTGCCATAACTTTGGTGGTGTGTGCTATCTTTGGGGTGACGTCACTTCCACGTGCGTCATCATGGCGCATCTTCCCGAGGGATAACATGATGGCATGTCGCTTCGGTTTCGCTACCAAGGGAAGTCTTTTCGCTTCGATTCTGGCACCACCCAACCCTATAAATAGGGGAAGGGTTTGTTTTTTCAAAAACATTTGGCCATTTCTCTTCCGATCATTTCCTTTCACATTTCTAGCTTTGCTTCTGCGTTCTCTTCATCCCCTCTTTCTCGTTCATTATTCTTGGTCTTTCTTGTTGCTTTAGCACATCTTCCTTCACAGACATGCTTAGAACACACCGATCACATAAGGGGGTTTCTGACGCCGCCCCGCTATCCATGGCGCCTCCTCCCGGTGGCGAGGACCTGACGATGGAGGAAGGGGATAGCCTTCCCTCCGTGGATGAGCTACCTCCGAGACACCTTATGTCTCGCAGTGACTTTCTCAAAGATCCTCCTCCTACTCCCATCCCAGTATTCTCTGAAACTGAGCAAGTCCACATCAATGCCCTCCATGCAAAATAACATTCCTGCTCATATTGAAATGGTTCCAGCGGGAAGAGACTTCGTGGAAGTCCATAGACCGGGGTACCGTGCTTTTTATGAGTACCCCTTTGTGATTGGTCATTCCTTCCCCCTTCTCCCGTTAGCAGAAGAGTTCTGTCGATTCTATCAGGTTTTCCCGGCACAGCTTTCCCCGTACACGCTCAAAATACTCCTGTTGTTGACGAAGTATGCAGAGTTAGCGGGGTGTGAAGTTACCGCTCACCACCTCCTACATTTGTTTTCACCCAGCTTTTATAGGGGTACTATGGTACATCTGAGGCACCGTGGGAC